TCTGGGGTACCGAGATGAAGGGACTGACTGGCTGACCAGAAATCCCAGCCGCTGATTGGCCGGCGCTGCTGCTGTTCCCAGACAGACTGAACCTGGTGACCTCAACGTGACAGGCAGGGTAAAGAAAACAGTCTCCATCTCTACAACATCTGAGGATCCAGGTCTGATCCCTGAGGGACTCCAGAGGACCTGAACAATCAGACCCTGAGCTCAGTCCAGTGTTGTTTACATACAGATGAGGACAAATTATTATGAAATTTAAAGTTTGTCACTTACTGTTTTCTAACAGTCAGGAATTTTTAAATGTGGCATTTCTAAAGAAGCTCGTTGCCAACTGGGCAACATGCCTCGTTTCTATTTGCATACAATTACAGAAGTATGGACATATAAAGTTACACGGTACAAAACAACTTCAGACTGATGTGCACACAGCTGTGCCATCAACGTCCAAAACAGGCGTTGCTCCAGGTGAAGAACGACGTCCAGAAAACCAAAGTGAACGTCACTGAGCCCTGACTTCAATCGCACTGAAAATCTGTGCGGTGAACTGAAGCCCGAGGTCTATGCAGGAAAACCATCGAGTCCGGACAGCTGCTAAAGAACAATTAGCTGGGATTGTTCAGGAGACGTGAGACTTGTTAAAGCTGCAGCGACCGCTGCCTGTCATTTACTGCATGAAACACAAATGGCTATTAGCTTCATGGGGCTATGCACCCCTCAGGGTCAGATGGCCCATCTCGTCTTCAGCCTGCAGACCATGTGTGAAGGATCCACCAAACACCTGACGCTGTTAGCGTCCTGCCAGGTCATTGGGTTTAGATAATATTCCCTCTTTTTAATAATAATAATAATAATAATAATAATAATAATAATGGATTTATATAGCGCTTTTCAAGGCGCCCAAAGCGCTTTACAATGCCACTATTCATCCACACACTGGTGTAGGCAGCTACAGTTGTAGCCACAGCTGCCCTGGGGCAGACTGACAGAAGCCAGGCTGCCATATCGCGCCATCGGCCCCTCTGGCCAACACCAGTAGGCGGTAGGGTAAAGTGTCTTGCTCAAGGACACAACGACCAGGACAGAGAGCCCGGGGACCGAACCGGCGAGCTTCCGGTTACAGATGCGCTTCCCAACCCCCTGCGGTTTCTGCATGTTAAGAACACACAAACTGTAGACAAGACAACAAACCTGCTACACAGTCAGATCATCTGTCACTGGTAGATTTACATTAAAAAGAAAAATCCGCTTGTAAAATGTAAACCATCACTTTTGTTTTCATCAGGTCTGATCCGGGGCTGCTGACTTTGTCGATCCTCTGCTTACTAATCCTACACCGAGTCCTCCAGCGAAGCCGAGACTTAACCTTCATCAGACATGATTAAACGATTCATCGTCAGGCTGGCAGTAAACAAAACACTAACAACTGTTTCAAATCTTCAAGGAGAAAAACATTCACTGCTTCAAAGCTGCTTTTTGTTTCTTGTCGTATCTGACGAGGACGCACCGACTCCTGGGACGCTGATATATCTGCAGTTATGTTGCTGTCAGCACCGTTTGATTGGTTTCAGTAATGTGGGATCAGCTTTGCTCTGTATCTGTGCTTTACTGTATTTCATAGATTTACATGTTACTGATGAACTATGGCAGTTTGGGCGATCGGCTGACGCTCTGATGGCGTTTTTGACTGAATGAATCAATTGTTAAAGATAAATAAATTAATCAGGTGATTGCTCCATAATAAAAATAACTGTTGGTTGCAGAAGCACCGTTTAGTTCAGTGTTGCAGTATCGGCAGGAGTGACTATAATCAGCTGTCTCCTCAGTCAGTTTCCTGTCTCACGTTCCTCCACCTTCAGTTAGCAACATTAGCCATTATTATTGTCTGCAGTCACAGTGCAGTTAGCAAAGTGGACATGAAGCTGTTCTCCACCTGCTTAGACCCATCAGACTGCAGGACTACAGCCTCAAACACTGCCACAGTGAGCCAGCCGGGACGCCTGCTGGTAGCAAAGCACTGGAGGTAGCTAGTTTTCAAATGAATAGAGACAGATTGACCATTAGTTTGTTGTCTGTGGATGACATCATTCTCTCTGACAGATGATATAACAGAAATAAAATGACCCGTCAGAGCAAAGCTCATGTGTGGACAACCCTGGAAAAAGGTAACGAGATGGAACGATGTGGGAAGAAGCTTCATTCGGGAACAGCAGCTTGTTTTAGATGTTATTAGTTTCAGTGGATTAGCTCAGGGCAGAGAAAGTTATTCTACAGTTTCTGGTCAGCGCTGTTGAAACTGTGTTTTCATGTCTCCTGGCTCTGTGGGCGGAGCCTTAGCTAACAAAAGCAGACGGCACCAATCTGATGCCAGGTGCGACTGACTGTGATTTCACCGGCTGTTTACTGCTTGTTGACAGAAGCTTGTGTTTCTTTGGTTATTGTGAGGTGGATCGTGGTGTACAGAGAAGCTTCAGCTCCTCTGTGAGCACCAGGATGAGTCGTCACCAATAAAGAAGTCCGATTTCAGAATCCGATTCAGAAACAAGCGAGGATGGACCGTGAGATTCGTCCTCTCTCTGAGAAGACTGTAGGACTCAGGCTTCAAGGAGAAGCCCACAGTGGAGGTGGCTGCTTGGTGGATGAGCCGCAGGTGGTGGCGCTGCAGCGGAGGCAGGTTGCTGGACAGGCCCCTCGGACCCCCCAGCGGAGGCAGACGAAGGCTGGACGGGCCCCTCGGACCCTCCAGCAGGAACAGGCGGTGGAGTAAATGACTGAGGTGAGAACTGAGCAGGTGACTGAGCTGATAGGTGAGCTAAAGTCTGAGCTATGGAGAGAAGATTAATATGTATCGACTGTTGTAAAGATGGTAGTAATGGTGGGTAAGGTGGTGGATTAGCAGTAAGCTGAGCTAGTTACCCTGAGCCTCCAGAACCTGAAGAAAACTGCTGGACGGGCTCACCTGAGCCTCCAGCGAGGTCAGAAACAGGTGCAGGTACCTGCCGAACACCAGCCACTCCCACCTGAGGACAAGGTACGGGTGCCGGAGCTAACTGGTTCCCGGTCACCCTGGGAGCCGGGACAGGCACCGTCAATGGCTGGGCAGCTGCTGTCCCCACCCGAGGAGCTGGTATGGGTGCAGCGACAGGCAGAGGCTCAGCAAACACAGACACCTCTAAAATGTTTTTCAGCTTCCTACCACCACCACGTCTAACAGTCTTAACAGTTTTCACAGTCTCAGAATTTCTAGTGTTCACATGATTGTCTTTTTCCCGCTCAGAGGGAGCAGAATGAAAACAGTCATTATAACTCACCACGGGGAGTGGCTCAGCAGAGACGGAGTGGCGACTGCGTGAACGTCGCTTTCTCCGCGAAGTGGGAGGTGGTGAACTGGGCTTCGAATCCTCCAAAAGACCGGGGTGCGATGAGGAAGCAGAGAGTTTGTGAAGTTCAGAACGTGGCAGACCCAAAAACAGAGCGAAGGACTGCAGCGGAGTGAGTCTAACGTCCGGCGTCACGTAATCTTTCTTCCTCCGCCGCTTAACCCTCTTGTCCGACTGGTAATCCAGGGGTGAAGGCGGAGGTGTAGCGACTGGAGAGAATGAGCACGTGCTCAACCTGATCGCCCGAGGCATAGGCGCCGGCTCGGCCGTAGCCATGGCAGTTTGGAGGCTGCGGGGCCCTCCCAAAGCCAAACGTGACCCATAGAAGCGTGACTGGAGCTCCCGGGCATGCTTAGCCTCCTGCCTCACGCTCTCCTTGAGGAAGGCAGAAACTGCGGGTCGCCGATACCCCACGGAGTCTGCTGGGTCCATGTTCTGGTCGCGATCTTCTGTTATGTGACGGCTGTGTGCGGACAGGAAAAGGACCCAGAGTGCAGACTCCGGAGACAGACGTGAACTCAAAAAACAGCTTTAATGCTGAACTCAAAGTAACAAACCTCCAAAGTACAAACATTAACGCAGGCAGGCAAAAACAAAACACACAGCATACGTGAGGGTCGATAAGAGCAGATCACGACAATGACAAACTGAAACACAGGGCTTAAATACATAGAGGGAGCAATCAGGGAATGGACAACAGGAGGGAGACACAGCTGGGGCAAATCAGAACTAACGAGACAAGGAAGCGTAAACTGAACACACTGAAATAAGACAGAGACCTTCAAAGTAAAACAGGAAACGCATAACACAGACTGAACAAAGACACAGACTCACATGCAGGCACTACAGAGGGAACAGAGACGTAGGACCAGGGCAGACACAGACAGGACATATAGCAGACAGGGGAGACAGCAACTAAGGATTACACAGAGACAAACCATAAGACATGACTCTAACAAAACCCAAAGACTAGAAATTATAAATAATATAATAAAGTCAAAAACCCTGGGTCAACGACCCAGGCATCCTAACAACCTGTAATGCATCACTGTCCCGAAGCTCCACATCAAAATTTGCATTAAATTAAAATACCAGTACCAAACAGCTAAAGGCCCAGTGGCAGCATACAGGTCGGACTCATCAGAACAACAAGCAGAGGTTTGAGAAAGCACAGTGATCATGTAAAAAGACAAAAGGAAGTGAAATTATGTGAAGCTGTGTATTTCCTGCAAACAGCAGAATAAAACAGTCCGTCTGCACCTGGATACAGAAGCACAGCTGTGAGATCGTCATTGCACAGCTGGAGGGAAATTTAAACACTGGCTTCAAGCTCAGTGACGACAGCACAGCCCGACTATTGGCCAGGACATCTGATGATGTCATCCCACCAATGATTCATCTTTACATCATATGACAACTTCCACACCGTGGTCTGCGATTTGACCAAGTAGAGCAGAGATACTTTAACCATGGAAACAAGCTAATGGACAGAAAACTTGTTTCAGCTGACGCGATTTGATGACATCACACACTAGTGAAAGACAACAAGCTGTGATTGGCTGGTGGCCAACGTTTGCTGGACCAGACTGAAAGGGCTTATAAAGGCAGAGGTGGACTCACCCCGAGAGCTGCTGGCAGGGCTTTGAGTACGATCAGGAGGCACCTGAAGGAGAGAGGACACAGGTGAAGCATGAACACAAAGGAATGATAAAAAACGTTGATCCACAGTGATGGATCAACGTTTTCACAAAGCCCCAACCAGCTTAAACAGGCAGCAGCTATTAAACTATGAAATGCACCCACACTCAGGGTTCCCACCAACACTACGAAACTGTACGGCAGGGGTGGGGAACTCCAGGCCTCACGGGCCGGTGTCCTGCAGGTTTTAGATCTCCCCCTGGGTCAACACACCTGAATCACATGATTAGTTCATTACCAGGCCTCTGGAGAACTTCAGGACATGTTGAGGAGGTCATTTATCCATTTGAATCAGCTGTGTTGGATCAAGGACACATCTAAGACCTGCAGACACCGGCCCTCGAGGCCTGGACTTGGACACCCCTGATGTACGGTGAGACTTGGTTTATAAGCTAAGATGTAAAACGCATACTGACACCACAGTTCGTATGAAGAAAACAGTCTATGGTTTGTAATCTATGGTTAAAAGAGGGTGATGAGGTGGAGCAAGACGTAGTGTGCTTAAACTTAATCCAGGCATCCGTACCTCGCATCTGAGCACATGCATCACCCAAACACTCAGGCGGAGTTACAGACGTGTGTAACATGTCAGCAACTCCAGTTAGCTGAGGTGAAGCCGAGCAGACAGCTAGCAGATCCAAACACCTGTGTCACCATCCACCTGTCAGCCAAAGAGGCCACGCCCCTAAACTTTAAACCTTCTTACATATTAACCAGGTGAACCCTAAAAACTTTCTTCTACTGTACAGGTGTTACGAAGGAGGACATTATCCACAGAGACAAACAGTTTGTATATCAGGCTGCAATCACGTTTATTTCTGCTGTTTTAACATGGGAGTCTATGGGGACTGACTCACTGCTGCCTCTGCTGGATGTCAGAGGAACTGCAGCTATTGGGACTGTAGAGTCGGTGTCTTTTGTCAATGTAACATTGTTAGACGTGTTGCATGGGTTGTGCTGCTGTTTGCACATGAACTCATCTTCATCGTAAAAGAATTTAGTGTCATGTTACCAAAGACCAGACTGTCGGCAAAAGATTCAGTCATGGAAACTTAAACTTAACAGACGTGTTCACGTGTGCGGTTTTATTTACCAGAGCAGATTGAGACCACAGGCATCAGAGCAGGAAGTCAGCAGCATATTGCCTTTGGCTCAGAGGAAGTCCCTCCTGCTACACTCTGACTCCACCTCCAGCCAGTTCTCAGCCTGTGAGGACACTCCGACGCTGTTGGTCGTCCTGCAGGAACAAAGACAAACTGAGGCTGAAGACGATGAAGGTGAAACCACACACACCTGACCAGGATCAAGCCGTCAGAATAAAAGTCGTAATAATAATAATGATGTAATATTAACCCTAACCCTCACTCCTTTCATGTGAAGCTCACATGAAGCTGGTTATTAACTTAGTGAGCTGATAACCTGCTTCGTTAGTTTGAGTGAATCCAGACACCAGGAAGATATCCCAGGTGTGTTAAACTCACTTCCTGGTACAGGCCTCTTAGCTGTGTCTGTTTGTGAGTAACTTCCTGCTTGGACAGCCAATCAGGACTTCGAAACTTTGTGTTTGAACTGCACATGGACAGCAGCCCACGCTCCCCACAGTCATGTTCTTTAGAGGATGCTGATGCAAAGAGCAGCAGCAGGTGTGTCTGGACGTCAGCCAATCAGAGAGCTGTGTCTCTATAACCTGTCAGCCTCTTATTGGCTGCTATGACTATGATGTTGTATTTGTTGCAGGTGTTAAGATAAAGTTAGAACTGAGAAGCTTCTCAGTTCTTCTTCAGGAGCTTCTGTGATGCATATTTAATGGGATGAAAGTTGCTCTAACAGCATCATGAGCTCCATCAGCTCTTGCCTCTGAAACTGAGGGTTTCAGTAACCTCCGCCTGCAACAGCCCGACCGAACCAAGCTGCTGCAGCGCCCGCTCACAGAGCCAGACAGCAGGAACGATCCGTGTCAGTCACCGAGTTCCTGCAGGAGGCTCTTAGCTAACAGCAGCCTCGGAGCATCGAGCTCCACGGCGTGATGCTAGCAGCACGAACAGCTGTTTGTGCTGCTAGCATGACGAACAGCTGTTCAGTTTAAACTCTGTTCAGAAGTTTCATTCAAACGTTTCAAAAGACAAAAACTGCAAAACGAAGCAGGAGAAAAACAAAAAGTATCAACAGAAACTGAAAACGACCACAGACAGAAGGTTCACGGGACAGGGTGAACGACCGGAAAGGGAAAGGAAGCAAAGGGAGGAAGTAAACCTTCAAAGTAAAACAGGAAGTAACTAAAAGTTTGAAATGTCTTTGTGTGTGCTGCAGTTCAAAAATGAAAACTCAGACACGGAAAAAGACAAATTTACAGCTGCTTACATTTCTCAGCTCTTTGTATGAAACATGTGAAATAAGTAAAATCCAGCAAACTCAGAAATGATGATCATCACATGACTGCGGCGAGCCTCCCCAGCGGTGCTAACCTCAGTGATTAGCTTTGAGCACACGGGTATTTTTCAAATCACAGCCTCTTCTCTGCGTTCGAGCCTTTGTCCAGACGTAAACGATGTTTTGGATCATTGAAAACTGAGATTTTTAAAAACTCTGTTTCTGTGTTTACGTGTGGACGAGGAAAACAGAGATTTAGTCACGAAGCATCAAAGGTGTGCGACGTGTTACTGTTTCACATCATTGAATTTCTACATTGATACAGACAAAACACTGCTGCTGTTAACCTCAGTTACTGTCCCTCTGTTTACAACGACTGCTTTTATGCGCCATCTTTCTTTACGCTTTCCCTCCCAGGCTTCTAGACTTCTGATTGGCCAACATTTCTACACAGTTAGGATTATATCACCACCTGTTGCTTTGGCATGTTCTTGACAGCGTTTCACTTTGTTTTTCAAGTTTGGGATTTAAAAAACAAAACAAAAACAGAAAATCTGTTTACAAAAATGTCCTGTACATGTGGACGTAGTGTTCCGCTGCCATCTTTTACATACAGTCTATACACAAGTCCTGTTTTTGCACATACTGTAAAACAGAAATGTGTTTTAATATTTGATGGATTGTCTTTATGGTATTTTCAGTCTGATAAATTGATCTTGTGAAAGGAACAGCATGTTTAGGGAAAGTCCAGTTCTGATTCTCCAGACCGGGTCCCTCAGGCTGAGCCCAGAACCACCACCCAGGGAAGGTGGACCTGCCACAGCCGGGGCGAAATCTGGATCAGCCCCATCGATCCCTTCACAGCTACACGTTTTAAAGCACATGAATCGGCATCTGCGCCAAATCCGCTAATTAACAATTAACGCAGAAGCACGTGGACTTTAATGCTCATAGTGTACTGCGGTTTGCTGCGTGCAGACGTAAGGGAGTATCCTCACCGAACTTCAAGTATAAATCACCACAGACTAAAAGTACTCGAGTACTTCTCCTCATTAACGTTATTTACCTGGATGACGTGCTCAGACATTCAGACTCTAATAGGCGGCTAATTAACAGCTGACTAACCATAATCAGCTGATGGTGATCGATCGGCAGCCCGATACCCAACCAAACGGTCACGTGAGTTTTCCTACCTGAAGCTGTCACTGTCCGGAGCTTCACGCGCTTTTCATGTCGCTGCAAACCTGAGCACAACTTGGCAAGAGCGCGCACACAGCCGACAGGTCAAGCTGCAGCGCACAGCAACAACAGCACTTCCGGCATCCTGCGCCTGCGTGCGGTGCTGCTCCGTCCAGGTGTGTAGACAGCTGCACGCTAACAGCCTGCTGACACACCTGAGCTTTCTGCTTCACTTTGATGAAATCAAATCTGTCTCAATCCTGAAATTCGCGCCAGTTAAGCTCATTTATTGTTCACGTGAGCTTTCTCGTGCACAGCTCGTGCAGGAGTGCCTGCAGCTCCTCAGCTTCACCCTCAGGTGCTGCACTCGCAGCTCCTCCCCCCTCCTCACACCTGAGGCTTTCGTGGGTTTGTGAAGCACTTGTTTCAGGTCTCCAGTCTTCCAGGCGCGTTGTCCTCAAAGCTGAGAGGATGCTGCCTCTGCATCAGCTACACCTGCTCCTCCACCATCACAGGTCTCCTTCCTTTCAGCATCACCTGTTTATTCACTGTCATCAGCTGATCCTGTGTGAACGTGCTCTTTAACCGCCTCCTCCTTTCTTGTTTTTGACCTTTCATCTGAGAGAAACCCTGAAATACAGTGTTTATGCTTTTCTTTTCTCTCATATTAATAAAACTCGTGATTTTTGTCTGAGAGCAGAAACTTTAAAATTACAAATGTTTTCCCACCAGGAACAAACTCAACCAGCACGAAGATTAATAAAAGGATGGAGCTGTGACCAGATTTCCTTCAGGGCCAAGGTTTTATTTTGAAGGTCACGGCGGAAGTCTCGTGCTGAGTGTGACTGTGTTGGCTCCTGTGTCGTCGGGCTGAGCTTCCATCCGAGAGCAGCTGCTGTGTCCGGGCTCCGGCAGGTGCGAGGACCCTCTTCTGGAGTGAAGCGGACCTGAGCACAATCCGGGACCCGAGCCGAGCCGAGCCGTCGCGGCTGGAGGCAGCTGCCCGCCCGCCTGCATGGAGCCTCTGGCCGCCCGGAGGCGCAGGATCCTCCCGCTGCTGGTCCTCTGGAGCTGCCTGAGTGCGGCCGTGCACGGGGAGAAGGTGAGTTACCTTCACTTTGAACCTTGAACCCAGGTGACCAGGCTCACCTGCTGCTCAGTACTCTGCCGACAGACGTCACGCGATCAGAGACAGGTGTGGGTGACGTCAGAGTTTTTCCAAAGTATTTAATAACAAAAAACCGTACTATTATGATGATGATGATGATGATGGTTATTATTGTTGTTGTTATTATTATTATTGGTGTTGATATTGTATATTTGTTATATAACCAGGTGGATTAATTAATTTATTTAAAAATCTAATCACGTGAGCAACCCTGAAGACCACCTTTAGTTCACACACACTGAGTATTTAACCTGAGCGTCAGTCTGCGCTCACACACTGCACAGGTGTATCACACCTGCACAGATACCTGCTAATCACAGCTCAGTAACATCCAAGCAAAATCAAACTTCACCAAAGCTTTCACTCAGCCTTCCTGGAAGGTCGGTTACTATAGTAACCTCACAGCAGCCGCTTATTGGTCATTAAAATGGTCCAGAGGTCCAGTTCGGGTAAAGCCCAGCAGCTACAGACACCTGTGTCACCATCCACCCTTCAGTCAAAGAGGCCACGCCCCTAATAATGCAAACTTTAAGCTTTAATACAATCTAACCAGGTGAGTTATGGAACAGTATGTGGTTTACAGACTTATTAGTGACGTTAATTATCAATCAGTTTACTGATGATGATCAATGAGAGTTAATGACCAGACTCTCTGTCGCTCACCTGCTCAGGTACTAACAGCAACCCTGCAGGAGGTCGAGCTGCAGAAGTTTCCTTTTTCTATTTACTGCGGATATCAAAGAATCTACAAAGAATGTCAGACAGGAAATAAAAGCCGTCTGTCTGTGTGCAGTCAGACAGACGGACAGACGGGGTTCTGTCTGTTGGTTTAGGACACACACACACACAGACACACTCACAGACACACACACACACTCACACACACACAGACACACACTCACACACAGACACTCACACACACACACACACACACACTCACAGTGACGTGCTGAGCCCAGAGCACCATGTGACTCTGTGGCGCTCCCTCTGTGTAGCCGTCATGGCCGTGCAGTCGCCTTCAACCACACTGAGATTCTGAGCGCGGTGCTGTTGCTGCTCTGAACTGTTGCTACAAGTTTCCTCCTAAATATTCGATGAAGCACGATGGGGTGGTGTTATTGTGTTTAAGAACATCTCAGGCAGGTGTAGTTACAAAGCGGCGCCCGAGGGCTGAGGTGCACAGTGCCGTGAACATCGGCGGCGCTCTCCTGATTCAGTAAGTGCGGCGCTGCAAACCTCCTCTGGCATCAACATCAGCTCATAAGCCGTCTGCTGGGAGCTTCATGAGCTCGGCTGGTTGAGCAGCTCCTGTAACGTCCTGGACTTGTATCCATGTAGTGCAGCAAAGACCTGGATCGTGGAGCCGTGACCAGCCACCAGTCCACCCAGATTTATTTATTCAGACAGAGATCTCGACCCCCCCCCAATGTTCAGCACAAAG